AATGTGCACAGAATTCTCAGTCTAGATGAAGATGTAAGAACTATAAAAACCAGGTGTCAGAAGTTGCAAAACTTCCCTGATCTGATTATGGGCAATAACTGCCGCTTGAAACGTCATCCGGGAATTACTACTGTGAAGTAAGCACATATAATGCTGAAGGTGTAATCCTTTGGTAGATTTGCCTCAGGTTTCTTAGATCGGTGAGAAGTCAGTTCTGCAGAATCATCTTTTTCTCCACAGATTGTATGCCATATCCTATCACAACCTTGGGAAACGTACTCTTTAAATATGAATCGTTGAGAAATGTTGCTTTGTAGAAACTAATTGACTCTAAACTAGTTTTAGTCTCAGATCGATGCCGGCCACAGAACTGTTGGAAACTTGGAAGAAATGCACAAGTGTTTCGTCTTCGTTTGGGACTTATCAGCAGTGTGCAGCCACAATACTGGGAAGACTCGAGTCGAGGACCTTCATCTATTGTGTTGAAATCCAGTGGTCAGCCTTTCTTGCTTTTGTGGATTCCTAAAACACCACAACTATCCTCCAATGTCGTCGGTGAACATCTCCCTTCACTTTCAACTTGGTTAACCCTACAGGTCACGAATGTTTCTTTGAATATTCATTAATCTATCTGAAAGCAACTGACTGATTAGCATCAGTCAGTCAATTAGCATCAACGTAGGAGCAGGCATTACTGCGCAACAATTCAAGTTGCCACATTTCAGAGCAGCACATAAAGTAATAAGGTAATCAGATGAAAGATGAAGAAAGAAAGAAAAGTTGGTCAAAAGCAGAATAAAACAGTAAAGGAGAGACAGGTGCAGTGAGAAAATACTGAATTCGTCTTGGCGGTTAACATGAAGATAAAGTGTGGATGAACCTATTCCAGCCACAACGATTCTAAGCCTTATCATTCAGTGTCTCCAACTGTTGGTTTCTGTTGTCAAGTGGACCCCAATCGGCTAGTCTGTCTCGTAGTACATGGGTCAGACCAACAGTCAAAGGCTACGTGGATTGATGCCATGTTTTATTCTGGGCATCCGAGTCCTTTTTCAGCTTGAACCTAATTCAGTCAGCATTCAGCAGTAGGACTGTGGCACGTTTAGCCTGTTTCCAAAGGCCGGATAGTAATTCAGTTGGTAATTTCAAGGGTAGATCGGTGTTAAATAAATATTGGAATGGTGACTTGATCGATGATTTTTATGTAGAGTCTTTTTATTTCGATTACTAGTGGTGTCATTCAGACAGTTGACAGTCTACGCTTTTTATAATATTTTATTTTCCGAACTACAGTATATCATCACTGCTTATGAGATCAACCAAAAACGTTAGTCTGTAGTCTAGTAGACTGATCACTATGCTGTGAATCGTCTGATGGCTGAAGATAGAACGAAAAGTCGACTGACGGTTGGACGGTTGTTGGCCTAAACCCTGGTGTTTTGAATCTTGCCATTACTTGGGTTTTCAATTCGAATTCAATCATCAACCATTCATAAAAAGAAAATCTAGTAGTCACATCATTCTCATTCGAACCTCGAAACGTTTTTAATACTTATTCTTATTCTCATGACAAATTAATCTTTCCTCATCTGATAACCACTTATTATCTGAAAACCAAAAAAAAAAAAAAAACATGAATTTGTTCCCAGAATTACAAGGAATATGTTGATTCACGCAATGATAGTGAAGTGCTTCCCTGTGGTGAGTATTAATCAACTGAGATGTAGGTTAATTCACAGTAGGAAGGTTACAAGATTGAAGATGAAATTTTCACCTTATGTTTGAGATTTTGTTTGAAATTTCCACTCTATGCGTGTATGTATAATAGTATGTGATGAAGAATCGACTTGATAAAATGCGACAATGATAGAATTAAGTAAATATGCACCAGAGGATATTCATTGCCTAAAAGTAACTCATTAGTTATGCGAAAAAGTGTCTGAAAGCTTAAATTATCACCTTTGTCATTTATGCGCGTATTTGTACTTTTCCCAGTTAGGAAAAAATGATGTGGAAAACTTTTTTGTATATTGATTAGTTCTCGAGAGAGTAACCGATTTAATGCTGTCTAGTCTTGAGTGCCGACTGAATTCTATCAATCATTTTACAATGTGGTCATCAAGCTAGGAGGTTGATCGTCATTAAGCCCTTGGATGGATGTTAATTGGTGGGAAGAAATTGATAGGAGGTTTAGGACTTAAGTTTTATGCTTGTTGGCACTTGTCAGCAAGGCATAATTGCAAGCCCCAGGGAACTAATTTGCCCTGCAGTCAGTGACCTTATCACTGAGCTATTTAAGCCCCTACTCTCGCCCTACAGGAGATCATTTACGGCTGGAGTGGCTTAGTGGTAACGTGGCTTCCTGCATACTAGGTGACATAAGTTTGAACCTCACATGGACGCCAGTTTCCTCAAGATTGCAGATCTCCCTTGCTGATGAGTGCCGGTAAGTCCAAGGCTTTCTGACGATTGCTTTTAACTGACTAACAATAATATTTGCATGATCCTTAAAGGTAATTTTCAGCATGTGAAAAAATTCATCACTGAAAACACTTTTAAAGTATTTTACTAGTTCGTTACACCTTCCTATGAATAAATAATCGCATCTGCAATTTACAAGTCAGAGGACTAAACTTAAAGGGAATCTTTAGTAAAGGTAATACATGAATCTATTCAATCCGTGTTCACTAATCCATCTGACAGAATCGACTGAAACACATAAACACTTTCTATATTGACATCAACCAGGGAATCCCTGATAAAGAAGTAGGAATGGGCAACTGCTTTATACTAGTTTAGGAATTTTCAGTGGTTAGTGGCCATAACCACGTGCAGTATCATGTCTGTGACAATCAAGTTATGTGATAAGCACATTATCATTCAGTCTTTGAGCTGGAATCTCATGATCTACTTTAATAATACTAATCTCTTTATTCCAAATAATATGTATAACAGTATGAAATTCTCATTATGTAATTTTTCAACAAATTCACTTCCAAAACAATACTTTTAGATGAAACAGTTATTGTATTGGAATAATATTAATAATAACAGTATTTAAGGCAATAATATGAAACAGCCAGCTAGTTCTGGATGTGCATCCGGTCCATAATAAAGAATAAACAGAGAAGCAAGCGAAATTTTGATGGTGGCGGTTCATTCAGACTGTACAAAACTCTCCAACTCAAGCTAACCACCTGATGGATAGAAATATTATGTACTTTTTTGCACCTAAGGGTCCATTTCTATATAATGTAACATTTTTTCCTCTGCTTTGTTATTGACACGAGAAAACGAGAGTTGGAAACAGTTTAAAAACATACGAGAGTAAATGATAAGTTCAAAAGACATATTGAAATGATTAAAACAAATTAAAGAGGAAGAATTTGATGAAAAATGTTTGATGGATAAATTTGGTAGCCCAAGGTTCAAACAGGCCGCCGTGAATCTTTCGCAACTTTTGTCATTCCATGATATAACTCAACCATTATCGGTTAGCATCAGTAGATATCCATCCTTAAGCCCAACTTTAAAATCGATTAAACCCCATAAATCGCCGATCATTTGAATTAAGATTAAGTGTTAGACAACAGGAGCCTGTTGTGAGATTTGAACATCCCGGACTTAGTAGTACAAAAATTCATGTGTTTATAGTGTTTAGAAGCTACATATAGTCAGTGGATATCCATAAAGTTAGTTCCTAAAGTTCTGCTAAAGTTGATATCCTTGCCACCTACTTAGTGGGACTTGTCAGCAGGACGTACCTTCACCCCGGAGGGTGGTGCTGTTCCCACCGAGACTCGAGTCCAGTACTCTGATTGTCAAACACCGAGATGTTATCCACTGAGCCATTAGAGCATGAGGACCGCCTGTTGTGGAATGAGGATCACTTGTTGTTTATTGACAACGCTTTTGCACCTGATGCGATGGGCAGTGGATTATTCTCAGTGGGAATAACATCACCTACTGGGACGAAACATGAGTCCAGGATTCCGTTGCTGGCCACCTAGTGGACAACAATATAGCGAATATCCCCACGGTATCGAGGCATCTGCAAAGGAGAAATGATATTCTTGCTGTTTTTCAAATCTTGTAGGGTCAAACTTAAATTCTCGAGTCCTTTCTTCAGTATTCTGAGCAATGAAGTTGCAAATCTCACAGACTGAAAATTTCTGTCATGATACCTGTCACAATATCGCAGTGCCTTTGATTCAACTTAGCAAAGTACAGTGTGAAACTGTACACTTAAACTGACTTTCAGTTTACTGAACTATCCACTTAATTTACTGTAAGTCATACAAACAGACAGACAGTTCAAAGTGGAGGCTGACAGAGAAGTGCATAAGTTCAACTTGCCAAACTTCATGACATCACAAAAAGAGGAAGGGGACAGAAAAAGGACGACTGTAAGTTAGACAGGAATGTGCCATATATAAAAAGAAGGTCCACAACCGCATATAGTGCGAGAGTAACAAACGTGATCCTGACTATATGATGAAAAACCCTGTGATCTAATCAAATCCACTTTCAATTGTTATGTTTACCATCATACATTAAAATATAACAAATCGTAATGCTAAGTTTGAGGTTTCTACTATCATATTCTATCACTGCTTTTGATTTATCTAGTTGAGATCACCTGCAGTTCACTTAAGTTGCTACTGTTTCATAAGGTTGTTCCAGTTCTTTTTTGTTAAACAACACTGGATTCGATTTCTATTTTCGTGATCTACTTTCATAATATACAAATGATTTAGTTATTTGGCTACTGCGTATCCTATCTCTACCGTATATGTCTGCATCGACATGTGATCTAATATTGACTGTAAAAAGATATTATAGTCTATAATAGATCAATACTAATCGATAAAGAAATTTAAATTGCTGAAGTGTCTTATGATTGGTCATTTCGAAGAAATAAAACAGTATATAAATGATTTAAGATACACTTGTTTCAAGAAACAACACAATAGGTTAAGATAGTATAGTGAATCACTCACCTGCAACTGATTAGTATATTTTTTTGTACTTGAGTCTTGAATACGTCTACCCATCACGAGCCATTTTTGATTCGGAAGTGAATGAGCTGAACGTCTACTTGTAAATGGTAATAGTGGATTACAAGATGAACAGCCTAGAACTAATTCTGTAATACCGTCTAAATCATGAAGACGTGAATTTCTTGGCCTACGACGTCTTTGATTTTTTGTTCTACCATCTGTCCTCCATTCATTGTCTTCATTTACTTTTTTCATTAATTTTGATTTTGATGAAAATCTTGACTGATATCGATCATTTGATCTATGGTTATTTTGTACTTTCAAATCTCTGGCAAGACGTAAATGATAGAGTTGATCGTGATTATTACGTCGGCGTCGGCTATTTCGCTTTCGACGATACTGATCAATACTACTGAGTTGTGTACCATCATTGCGTATAAGTTTTAATGCTAGAGTTCTAGGAGTTAGATTCAGGATGATTGAAGCTTGATTCGGTTGTAAAATCATATCTTTTATAGAAGCCTTCAGTACTGAACAATATAAGAGAATGAGAGTAATTATAACCCTTAGATATTAAAATGTACATTTTAAAATGCATATTTAGATGAGTGTGATGACGTAAGATTTGTATTCTACCACTTAAACAACATACTATGTACAGTAAATTTATACCCATATAGAGCTTTGTAAATGCATACACTTCAACGAAACACTGGCAAGTGAAGTAGAACAGGCTGATGCAGGTAGGAGAAACCTCACAACATTGTATCAAATAACCAGGTTACTCCCTGAGATGAAAGAGAACAAAGCAGATGAAAGCAATAAGAGGTGATGAAGGAAATCTAAGTACCAAAGAAGAGAAACAAAGGAAACGATGGACTGACCACTTCAAAAACTCTTGAATCGACCACCACCACCTACACTTCCTCCAGAAATACCACCTGCAGCCCAGCCACAGAACTACAAGTGAACACAAGCCCTCCGACGAAAGTCGAAGTCCTGAGAGCCATAAAGCTACTGAAATGCGGGAAAGCAGCAGGACCAGATGGAATCCCTCCAGAAGCACTGAGAACAGACGCAGTGACAACAGTGGAGATGCTCACACCACTACTGCAGAAGGTCTGGAAGGAAGGAAAGGTACCTGCAGATTGGAAGAAGGGCTATCTTGTCAAACTTCCAATGAAGGGAGACCTAAGTCTTTGCAAGAACTGGAGAGAAATTATGCTGCTGTCCACCCCAAACAAAATATTAAGCCACATTATCATCGATAGACTAAACCATGCGCTGCATTCAAACTTACGAACGGAACAGGCTGACTGGATTCTAAAAGTAGAAAATTATGTGGGGATCAAATTGCAACGCTACGCTACTCATTATCATACAGCAGGGCATAGAATGGCAGTCAACTCTCGACCTCAACTTCATCATCTTTGAAAAGACCTTTGACAGCTTCGACCGAGAAGTAATTTGGCAGTTGCTTCAACACTACGGTTTTAATGTCACAGATTGTTATCAACCTCATTCACCAACTATATGAAGACGCCACATGCCAAGTGATCCACAATCGAAAGCTCACTGACACCTTCAAGGTAAAGACAAGAGTAGGACAAGGCTGCCACCTACTATCACCCATCGTCTTCTTGATTGTGGTGGACTGGATCATGAAAAAAACTGTGAGAGGCGGGAAGAGAGGGATACGCTGGACCAATGAAAAAACGCTAGAAGATTTGAATTCCGCCGATGACTTGTGTCTAATGTCTTGTGGCACAAACTCGAAGAACAACAGACGAAAACTAATATGTTGACAGAAGAGGCAGCGAAGCGAGACGGGACTTCAAATGAACGTAGAGAAAACAGAGGTGATGAAGATACCCAACCAAAAATAGCATCAACGATAAGCACCAATCACCATCAATGGAAGAAACTTAAAGGAAGTAGTCTCCTTCACCTATCTAGGCAGCATCGCTTCAACTACAGGCGGCGGCAGCGGCACAGACGAGAACGTCAAAGCCAGCCAGGATCGAAAAGGCAGCAAGACAGGCGTTCATTAACCTGAAATCAGTGTGGAGATCCACTTCACTGCACTCAGGATAAAGCGTGAACAACATCCGGATTTTCAACGCCAATCCAGTCAAGTCAGTGCTTCTATATGGTTCAGAGACTTGGCGTGTCACCAAAAGCATTTCCAACAAACTACAGATATTCATCAACAACTGCCTACACTGGCTCGTTACTGAGGCTCAGATGGCCAGAATAGTCAGAATAAGCATCAAGGAACTCTGGCCTGTCGACAAACCAACGAAGCAAGAACCTATTGCACAACAAATATGCAAAAGGAAGTGGAGATGGACTGGGCATGCACTGAGAAGACCATTCGGGGACATCACGCGCCTGGCCAAACCCTCGAGTGGAACCCAGATGGGAAACGGTGATTCGGGCATCCGAGTCAAGGGTGACATAGAGGAGACCATGTGAGGAAGAAATGAGAGCTTGTGGGCAGTCGTGGAGCCAGGTTCGAAAAATTGCAGAGAACAGAGTGGAATGGAGACGTGCTACTGAAGCCCTGTATTCCACTAGGAACCCAAGGGACAAATAATAATAATAATAGTATATTGATTTATCTCTTGAAATCGATATTGGTGAATTCCCGTGGAGCCAATACCACAGCAACAATCGTCAATGATCTCTGATTTGTGCTTCTCAACGCGAATCTGTTTAGGCTTTCACAACTAATGAGCATATTTATCCAAATGATCTACATAAATACTAATCCAAATACTATGTGACTCAGCTTTGTGGAGCTAGACTTCAGCAGATATCATAGATCTAAAATGAAAAAGGAATTCTAACAGTACTTCGAAGTAATTTTCATCACGTCAACCAAAGAACCATTTTTATCATCCTGGTTCACAAGTCATTAGTAGTATGCAGTAGTGGCAACCTCCTCAGACACCTAGCCTAGTACCATCGATCCCCATGGTGATCACTTCACCAATGAGTGAGAATCTAATTGTCTGCTTTTCAACTTCTGAAAATTGGTGATATCATATGAACAACGACCAAAGTCATCACTAGGAATGTCTCCTCATTCCTAACTCTGTTGAGACCACAAGCCATGGATTCTCTGGAACTTCAGCCTGAGTGTTAGAATGTTCTTCATTCAACTATTAGTTGGTTAGGGCTTTTTTCTTCACAAAAGGTTTTAGTTATAATAGGTTTCTTTCTGGTCATATCACTGAATCGAGCAACCTGTATTCCCTCATTCACTGGATGTGAGAACACCTCAGAAGTAGACATGATGTCTGGTTATTGTTAAATTTTGCTCTTACTTAAGTCCACTTTCGATCACAGGACAATTCAGATACCTGTTCGACTATAGTCTATCCATCTAGTTAGCGGTGCCCATTCGTTACTCGCTAACAGTGGTGCGCAGAAGTCCTAACCTAACGGATAGGAATCTATTGGTGTTTTTTTTCATACTCCTATCATTGAGTCACATGACGCTACCGTTACACAGTAGTATAGGCTGGCAGATAAGTAGGCCTATTTTCCTTATTCGTTAACGATTACACAAGCCGGTCAACAGTAGGTAACTGATATAACTGTATATACTCTACTGCTAAGCTACATTGGTTATCCACTACCAACTGAGTCTTCTGCATAGTGCAGTCGTTGAATAGGCCTTGGTGGTAAAATCTCCAACTTCAACCCTAACTGATACGGTTTTAAATCCCCAACAGAAGGCTAGTTTCTTTGTATTTGGAGATAGGCCTAAGGGACAACTGTTAACATACTTGAAATGCAGATCCATGGCTTCTTGCCGACTACCCCTAACAACAGCATATGACATAGATTTCTAAGCATAAAAAAGGGTTTAACTGATATTGGGTGATGATTGAAGGTAAAATGGAAATTTCAACAGTAGTATTTATGGTCTCCCGTGTCTTTGATCGATAATGAAAATTATGCCATCCGTAGACAAGTTCAAAATGTTTGATAAGAAAAAGGCTTAGTTTTCCGACTGATTATACATTATTTCTACAAGGACAGCATTTAATGCTAGACTGCCACTTCAAATCGATTTATACGTAAGGTTAATGCCAAATTTTCCCGAATTTAATAGACCTACTAATTTTGAAACCAAATGACAAGTTTTTTGCAATATATCACAAAGCATTAGGATCTCATCATCAACTTATATTACACCTGAAGGAATGATTTAAACATTTTCAAGTCATTTAGTTACTAAATACATGCCCAATTGTAATAAAAATCAATACATAATTGAATTAAATTGTATACTAGGGCATGAATAATACTTACCAACATCAGCCATACAATAACTGCTGGCGATATTTTCCAATGTAATCGCCTGTTCACAAGGAACACATGTTACAGCTGGGAAAGAAAAGGTAACATTGAAAAAAGGGACAAAACAGGTGTTTTAAAATCCTGATAGAATATTATTCAGTAATTTATGTAACATATTACTTCACTTTATTTCAATACAATAGGCATAATATCTTCATTATGAGACAATCTCATCCATAAATATTTGTGATAACAAGACAGTATGAAAGTTGTTCCGTCTTTGAGTGGAACTCATGAATAGTAATACCTTCACTTTGGACGTTTGTTAGGAATGACTTCTTTCAGGGTAGTATTCTTCTGAATATTCTGAATATTTAGAGAGACAGAGAGAAATTGAAGGATGACGTTCGTAGCTATTAACTTAGTCCAGGGTAGCCAGAGATGCTGGCAAAGTTTCCTTTGTATACATAATTCTGGTTTCTCCATGTGTATGGCGAAAGCTTCTGAAGCACGGAAAAGATAGAAACGTGCCACTTTTTGCAAATTTCTTTTCACTTTTAGAATGCTTAATCACTTGTGAAGCTGTGACTCGTTTTGACAGGGTGCTCAGTAGATGCATTTGTAATGGGTTCACTTGTCCCTCTTTACAGCCTAGTGCAGTAATGTTCTGTAACCCATTTAGAGAGGATATACATCAAAGGACCTATGCATCTGGCTCAACAGAAGCAGATTAATCGATTAACACATGGAAATAGTCAGATGCTGAAGCTTATCTTTCGGGCCTCCAGGATTTGAAGATGCATTTTTATTCCTTCCTTATCAGCTAGGTTGGTTAGCGTTCTTGAGCATGTTTCACAAGCTGGGGCGTGGTACAGCTGACATACTTATCCCATCAGGCACGAGTAAACTGATACACATACGTTTATGGTGAGATACTAGACATGACCAGTTCTCCTTACCATTTAATGGCAAAATGGATCGTCGAGATACTTGACCCAGTAAAGAATGGAATTTTGAAACAGCCTAAGTAACACAGTTCGCTTAGCTGACGTAGTCAATAATATCAGTCTGTCAGGGAATAGGATGATTCCTCTGGATGTCATCTCACTACTTACAAATATCCCACAGTCGGATTTCCTTTGTTTTCTGTGTTACTTCATTCAGTCCCATAAATTAAACACTGGTATCCTAAACGACTGTTTAAAAGGACTTCTTCTTAGATGTACTTTCAATGTGCACTTCAGATTTAAGAATGAAGTCTATAGGCAGAGAGATGGTGTGGCAATTGGATCACTTATTGGACCCTTTTTGGCTGACTGCTTTATGTTAAGCCTGAAAAATACAACCCCGTCAAAGATAATCAGCGCGCTTTAGACCTTTAAAAGATGCATAGATGATACCTTCATTATTTGTAACGAGAATATGAATCTCGAAAACTTGCTTCAAACTTTCATTAGTGCTCATCCATATATCAGCCTCACTCGAAAAGTAGAGTCAAACTCAAAATTTCCCTTCGTCAATGTACAGCTCCAAAGAAAATATGACAATTCATTCCAAAGATCTATTTACAGAGAATGCACCTGGAACGGGTAGTTTATCAATTTTCAAAGGTGTATAACCTTCAGCAGAGAAAGGAATCATTAATTCATTCTCCTCAAGAATAAGAAGAATATGCACGGAGGATACCATCGAAAGTTACCTAAAAGACTTGCAAGAAATCCTGATGGAAAATGGATTCTACTGTTGAACCTTGAATTCAAGGGAGATAATCAGGAAAATATGCTTAGAAAGAAACTATGAAGATCCATAAACAGAACATTCATTGCCATCACACTTTTCTATCAGAAATTCATTCGTCAGTATGTAAAGCATAAGCTGCTAGAGCATTGAGCTGCATCAGTGTGTATGTAAATTATTTTACGTACTCCTATGCAGCTGAGTACATCGGTCGTACAATGAGCCAGTCTGAGAAAAGTGCTCACGAACACTATCCACCTTGGACGCCAACGTAAGAACGGAAATTCATCTTTAACTATGTAACAAGACACTTGAAGCTTTCGATAAGTCACTCAAAGTTTTCGTAATTCACTGAATAAATGAAAAAATTTCCTCATTCCTTCAAAGTCTTTGATAATCTTAAAGTTATCCATAGGAAAAGTTGTAGATATCTGATAACAGATGGAAACAAGTTGCATCCTATTAATATATCAACCTGTCATAAGTAGATGAAGGACAATTGATGTGAACTGTAGTAGTTCAATTTATCCTTGTAAATTACTTTAAAGGATGAATCTCGAACAGCTGAATAACTCAACTCTACTAGGTGTTTGTTCACATATGGATAAAGTTGTTTTGCTTTACTCACCTTTAGTAGGTCAAACGATGTAGTTTTCAGTAAGGCGTTTTTGGATGACCCACTTTCAACGTTCAGCTTCAGTCAGCTTCACAGAAGTATTTGAATTTGTAGATATATACAGACACGGACATAAATGGTAGCCCATCCTTCATGCTTTATCGAATGAGATGATGACTGGAGAAAATCAGTCTCAGTTAAGCAATATAAAAGGTACTATTGATACACTTTTACAGATGGCTTTTCAGCATTTCGGCTGTGGTGTCCACTTTGAATTCCAGATTCGTGATTACAATTTTCTCAGCAACTATGTAGTGCAGGTTACTGATCAGAATGGATATAAGTAGCATATGTTGAGCGGGTGACAGAAATGATAGGCAATTACCAACCACGGGTAAAGATTATGCCCAGAGAAATGTGAGAAAGTCTGGGCTTATTAGAAACAAATCAAGGCAGAAGCAGAAGAGGAAATGAAGTATATTGTGCAAATGACTGTTTTAGTGGAAAGTGTACAATATTTTATCACTGCTATACAACATGTCAATAATGAACATTCCTTCCCGCTTCTCAGTCTTGTCATTTCCTACAAGTGTAATAGGGTGAGGGGTGATTCTTTTCTTTAGGATTTTATCAATAGATCTTTTCAATTACACTTCCTACCACTTATGTCCACATCTACGTGTATCTAGAAAATTTAAATGCCTCTGTGGAACTGATTATATTAGACGTTGTAAGAAGGCCATCTAAAAACGCTTTACTGAACATTATACTGTTTGACCTACTAAAAGTGAGTAAAGTAAAACAACTTCATCCATATATGAACACTTAGTCATTCAGCTGTTCGAAATTCATCTTTTAAAGTAATTTACAAAGTTAAACTGAACTACTTCAAAGATATACTTTCTCACTATTTATTGATTTTCCCTGAATAAATTGTTCAAAACAGCCATTTCAAAATGTATTACTATTACAAGTGTAAAGAATGGTGTAAAATGAAATACTTCGATAAATAATAATTAAGAAATAGTTCAAGTGGAAATAACTAATTTCATTAACAAATTAACCAATTATTAACAAGAGAATATTTAAATACATTTGAATAAGCATATTCCCAGCAAGAAAATCAATATCACATATTTTTAAATTATTACATTGGTATTGACAGCCGTTAGCACTCTGATTGTGATACAGACATACAACATACACACATGCAATGATACATATACGCCATAGGTCAGCATAACATAGATTTAGGAAAATGTAGAATTATGTATAGACCATATAATAATGTGATAATAAGGTTATATATTGAACAGAATATGATTATATATATAACACTGATTTTTGAGGGAGTATTAAGGAGATGGTATCTAGTGTCCTATAGATACGTATAATATAGCTCAGAGATCACTAGCATGTTTGTTCTATCAAATGATGGTTAAAAAATAATGTGCGCGTAATGTTAAATATATTTTACAATAGGAACCAATGAAAAATAAATGAAAATGGCTTTTTGCGGGACATTTTGTTTCACTTAGATTGATGGAAATTTAGTTGATAGGATAACCTGGAAATAATTTAGATTAAATAGTTTGTGTGAGCACTGGTCAAAGCTATTTGATTTTATCATTATTATGCAAATATAACCATAATAAGGTTTCTGTGTACAGAACAGGAGGTGATGGCCCGATCAGGGACCAATTAGCCTATACCAGACAACATTGGCAAGATAATATTGGCTTCAACAGTGAGTGGTTCACAATGATTGCTTCCCTGGCAATACATTTTGATCGCGAGGAATCCTGCTGATATTCAAATTTGTCTGTACGATCTCAGCATTTCTCGTATAATTCATGATCATAACAGAGACTTGTTATGTCCAGGATATTGATTGAATTACTCCCCTCGTGAGTTTTAAATGAAACCATGGATTGGAGGATTTCACTGGACATAATTGGTTTCAAATTACTGAAACGAATTTCTAGCCGATATTCACCACGGATAGACATCACTTGGAGGACCAAAAAAACCTAAGGTCACCGGACATCTGTTTTATTTGAGTATAGAATGCCTCAGCAGTGTCCAGCCAAGATCTAGTAAGGTGTCATGCTTGGAACCATTGGGTCTTGTGGTGAGTACTTTACCATTCAGCCACTGTGATGGAATCCACTGATTCACCTATCTCGACTTCTGTTGATTCGCAGTGTAGCCCGATTACCATCCAATGGCTTTGGTGAGTGTCTATCCTCCCAACCAACTTGGTTGACATCACAGGTCACCATATTTTATAAGAAACTTGGCGGCACTGAGCAGCTGTTTCGTCCTGGTTTGGGACTCCTCAGCAGTACCCACCCATGGCCCCACCAGGGGTCGAACACAAGACTTTCAGGTTCTGTGGCCAGCGCGTTACCATCGAGCCACTGGGTCAGAATCCAGTGGTCCATATTTCCAGCTTCTTCCGACCCAGTGGCCAGTTGTAACGTGCTGGGCACAGAACCTAAGGGTCCCTGGTGGGATCATGGATGGTCACTGCCGAGGAGTCTTATAGTAAGACGAAGCATCTTTCCAGTGCTCCCAGGTTTCGAAAATTCCTCTAACAGTTGTCAGTCCATGATGAACGCCAACTTGAAAAGTCACTAAGTCCCCACAACCCCCCAAATTAAATTTCATTCAAACTTTTAGAGATCCATCTCGAAGTAACTGATGAATAAGAAGTGATAAGCAATCGATTGAT